TGTCCCTCGGGGACACTAGATATATCAGTACATGCGCGTTCCCGGGGGCGCGCCTTCCATTATTTCGTCAGAGAATATTATCATTGCCCTATTATGTCACTCATGTCCCTCGGGGAATAACTTAAATTTAACTTCTTTTGAATGTTCAACAAGTTAAGAATAACTTAAATTAAAACGTTATGTGAAGTTTGAATAAATTAGATAAAATGTTATTGATAAATTGAATAAATGTGAAGTGATAAGTTGATTGTGACATTGAAATTGTATGGAATGAGCATTGAAATGTGACATTGAATAAATTGCCAATTCACCCCCCTCTTGGTTGATTCCGTCGATCGATGAACTCAACATAAGTTGATTTTAATGTATACGTTTTAATATATATGTTAATGATAAAATCATATGTATGGAGTCCTTTAATTTCAATTTAAGTATTGTGAACTATAATTGGAATATAACTTTTAATTTCGAATACAATTGGAATATTAAGTTGAAATTTAATGTTAAATTTCGAATACTATAATTTATATTTTAAATTTAAATTTGAATAATATTATTTTTATTTTTATTTTAAATTTCGAATAATATAATTTATATTTTAAAAACATTTATCAAACATTTAATGTTAAATGTGAATAAAAAATAACATAAAAAATATGTATGTAACAACCATGAAACATTTAAATAACATAACCAAATTACATAAAATTCTGAAATTTAATTATTTAAATAACATTAATATAACTGGATCACCGATGTCGTCGTCTCGAATGAGTTCCACATGGCGGTGGTTGCCTATTTCGTGGAGGATTTCTCCGTGGAACTTGTTCTTCAGTCTCCTCATCTTCACTATCATCATCAGCAGCATTTTCTTCATTTGGTGCAGATGACGCTGAAGGGGCTGAAGGGCCTGTATAAATAACGACCCTGGAGGAGTGCTAGTAACAATCCCACCGCTCCCCGGGAACTGTGGAAACTGTGGAAACATTGGCATCGATGTATGTGATCCAGATGAAGATTGAGGTGTCTGCGGAGAAGCACCACCAGCCAAATAAGATGCATATGAAGCATATGCTGGATCATTAAACATAGTCGTATATGCACCTCCATATGGTATAAAACCCTGCGGGCTAGGCATGTAACCTGGCGGGCTAGGCATGTAACCTGGCGGGCTAGGAATGTAACCCTGCGGGCTCGGAATGTAACCCTGCAGAGATGGCATATAAACTGGTGGGCTTGGCATATGAAGTGGAGGGCTGGGCATGTACCCCTGCGGCATCGACGAATAAGGATGTTGTGGTGGGACTGATGCAGAACCGGTAGCGCCTTCTCTCCGTCTACGCGTCGGGGGACGATGATATTGAGACGGTTGACGTCTTTCTCGGCGCCTAGGAATGTTAACCCTCGTGCTTCCGCCGAAAGTAGAAACGGCTTCCCATTTTCATTAAACCAGTCCATATAGTTATCCGTAACCATATGACCAGTTTCAGCGTAATATTGTCGAGGGGCCAACAGTGTATATCGGTTCTCCCATAGCGCAATCCAATCTCTGTGTCTCACCACCCAGTTAACATCTTTCTTTCCCCGTCTATCTATGTTATGCACGTCGTCTAAATTTCTAGGAGCTCCAGGAATATATTGCGTACAACCATACTGACGGAGCACGCGATCAACTGGATGCCACTCAATAATAGCATAACATATAAGAGGTATAACCGATATCCATACCTCTAATGACCCTCTAAGGTGGGGTGGGATGCAAGCTTTCACTTCATCGCTCGCATAAGGTATCCACTGAAACTGAAATATAAATACAATTCAAATAAATAAAATATTCTAATTATATCTAACATTTTAAATTAAAATATTAATAATTAAACAAATTTAAAAACATACCTCAGACCCAGCTTTCGTATCATAAGTAAACGAATTTCCTCTAAAACAGTAGGTATACTTTATGGTCCTTTCTTTTCATCGACCACCTATGAAATATAATATAAACTAAATATCACCCTATTTAATTGAAAATATTTAAATCAAAATTTAGTTCGAAAATTACCTCAACAATAAGGGGAATACGTATGGTTCATTCACGATCGGGCATAAGAAAGGCATGCGGAACCACGCCCATGATTGTAGAAGCAGAAGACATCCACCGATAGCAGTTTTCTTATAATTCGTCGCCCGACACATTTCTCTAAAGAGAAATGCCAAAACTGCAGCACCCCAACTATATCTTCCAGCTTCATCAAAATCGATCAGATGCCGCAACCACATACAATGCACCTGGTTGCGAGATTTGTCGGGCATCAATATTCCTCCAATTATTCGTAGAATATATGCCCGAGCACATGCCTTTGCTTGATCCTCTGAAGCATTTTCATTTAAAACCTCAAAATTAGCTTTCAACCAAGATAAAGCTATTCTACCTCCATTAAACTCTGGCGGAGCAGCTCCAAGATAATCAATGCACATTGATTGCCAATCACCATCCGCCATACCACACATCATATTTCCGTCGACGGGAAGCCCCAGATGCATAGAGACATCCTCCAATGTAATTGTTGCCTCTCCACATGGAAGGTGAAAAGTGTGTGTCTCGGGCCTCCACCTCTCAATCAGTGCAGAAATTAGGACAGGTTCGAGTTTGCAACCGCCTATAATTGTTGCAATATACCCGAACCCAGCAGAAGCCAAATATGGCAAAATACGTTCCGGTGTCGGTATACGTGGATTTTTAATAAAAGTTTCTAAAATACGATCAGCATCCTAAATAATATATTATAAAAAGTAAACATTAATATAAATTCATAATAACTTTAAAATAAAAATAAATTTAAATATTAACATTAATTATAAAAAATATTACCATATCGCTAAAATGTCTGGAGATATGATCAATATCCAATCGCAACAGCATTTCGTTTTCCATTATAACTGTAGACAAAACAATATAATTAGCAAAAAAATTAATAATTCTAAATAAATAATAATTATATAAATATTATTTTAATAAAAAAATAATATTTACATAAATATATTAATATAAAAAATAATAACTATTTAAAAAAATACTAACATAAAAATAAATTTCTTACCACTAATAACAAATTTAAAACTCAAATAGTTGGAGAATTTGAGTTATATAAGAGAGGAGAAGATGATTTTGGTGTGAAGAATGAGTGAGGGTTGAGGGGGTTTATATAGGGGAGGAGGAGGGGTAGTTAGGAAAAACGGATGGGGGCATTTATGACATTTAATGGAAGGCGCGTCCCCGGGGATGCGCCTTCCACACGTGTCTGCTGATATGGCAAAGGCGCGTCCCCGGGGACGCGCCTTTCACACGTGGCATCCAACTCAGCGAAAACACGGGTAAAGCGCGTCCCCGGGGACGCGCCTTTGCCAACTCAGCAGAAAGGGTGCTAGTTTTGGAAATATTGGTCGAACGGTGTTAGAAAAGTAAAAATAAAAATAAACGGTGTCAGTGGGGTAAAAAAGCCGCCGTCTGAGTGCCAGACGTAGCGGACAGATGGGTGGGCAAATCGTCCCGTGTTTTTCGTTTTTATTTAAGAGGTAAAGTACAAATGGTTTATAAAATCATTCTATCATTAAAAATTATAAAATAGTACTCTAATTATAAAATATTATTTATCCAAAACTAGACGCCGGCCACTTTTCTCCGGTGGCCGTATACCCTCCGGCCGCAGAGTACGATGGTCGGATAGACCCAAAATCTAACCGAAGCCTCCTGAATGATTCGATTCAACTTGATGGTGGCTCGGTAAGTGAGGCATTAAATGCCTTGAATTTGATGAAATCCGACTTGGTGGCTCCCACTTGATGGCAGCTTCGAATATCGGCGCGGCTAGATGTGTGATGGACTCGGTCGACGGCGGCTGGAGTCGAGCTTGGCAGTGGCTGACCCAAGGACAGGGTTTTCAAACCCTAATGAGCTCTGATCTGGACCGTTCGATGAACTTGGATCTAACGGCTGTGGTCTTTGGCGGCTGAGAAAAACAATGCAAAACCCTAATCCAAGTGGGCCTCTTCTTGTTGGCTTTTTTTAAAATTTTTGTATTTGAGCTTGATTTTATGCCTACAAATAAATTCATTTAATAACAATAACATTTTTATTTAAAATAATAATAAAACAGATCGGGTAAAAATATGGTGACTACACATAAATGACCAGATTAAGCATATTTTTAATTTAAGTTCATATTATTATATATTATATTACCTGAAATAGTAATAAAGATATGCACAATCATGTTTGTGACTCCAAGAGCACTCAAAATAGTAATATATGTCTACATGTACTATTTCTTTACTGAAAATCGTGTATCGACTTTTTGAGTTTTGTCTTTTTCGATAACTAAAATTAAACAAAATTTGATTAGATTTGAAAGATATGATTCATTCATTTTGATTAAAAAAATATATTAGACCTGACTGAATTTATTATTATCTTATATTATGGATCATGAAGTTTGAGAATTACAGGTAAAAGAATTTTTTTACTCAAAAGATAAACAGGCAAGGAAATAAAGCTAATTTTGGTTTCATAGGAGAAGGTTTACACTTAATTTTGATGTGTGTTCTTGGGGAAGAGAAAGAAATTGGGAAGGTCCTATAAATAATCTCTAAACTTAATTTTATTAAATGGATAAATTAATTTAAAAACTAAAATCCGTGTATAAATAACATGGGAAAAAAGATTGACAGAGATTCTTTTAATTGGTCGAGATCACTGATGATAGGATGAATCATGCAGCACATACAATACATGTGAACCATGCATGTTTATCATCAAGGACCCTGAAATCAACACCCACAATACCTTGATATTATTTTTAGCCATTGAAATCTCAACTCAAATATGTATACATATATATATATATAACAAATTTCACTAATCAAAAGCCATCTAAATTTCAAAAATATTATTTATAATAATGTGTACATTTACATTCACTTGCCAATGACTTCCCAGCTAATGGCTAAAGAGAGGGATAATTAGAGTTCAATCTATGAAATCTAATGGCCGGACGCCTCCTCGGGTTTGCCCCAGCAGTGACAGAACAGTGGCGGCGATATGCTTTGAGCTCAGCCCCGCCTCTTCCATCTGATCATTTTGAGATCCATGCTCTATGTATCTATCCGGTAGTATCATTGGCCTCCACTGCACCAAGTCACATTCATTTTAGGCTTATAATCTAACTGATTCTTCAACTAAGTTAATGGAGTCTGGTGTTACCTTAAGCTTGCCATCTAGTAGTCCATTCAAGCACAAGAAATGAGAAACGTGGGTGCTGAATCCCCCGATCGATCCTTCTTCGGCAGTGATCAATATCTCGTGTTCTTGAGCTAGCTGTCTTAGTAACTCTCTGTCGATCGGTTTGCAAAATCGAGCATCCGCCACCGTTGCGGAGACACCAAGCAATGCTAGCTGCTCTGCTGCCTTCACGCAACTTTGGACTATTGTTCCATACCCCAGAATCGCCACCCTGCCACTTCCTTCTCTTAGTACTCTCCCCTTTCCAATCTGAATGCACATTCGAAGTTCGGATTACGAAACTCGGAAACAGGTATTGTCCAATAAGACGCATTAAGAGACCATTTGCAGATCGCAACTAAAAAGATGTTGTAAAATGAAATTGATGTACCTCCAATGGTGTTCCTTTGTTGTTCGGTGGGAGAATAGAACCAATGCCATTGCCTCTGGGGTACCTAAAGCAGCTAGGACGATCGTCGATAGCGGCCGCCGTTGCCACCATATTCATCAGCTCAGACTCGTCCGAAGGTGCCATCACTACCATATTCGGCAAACATGCCATGAACGTAGTGTCGAACCCACCGCAATGGGTCGGTCCATCTGCCCCAACCAGGCCAGCCCTGTCTATTGCAAATCTCACCGGTAGCTTTTGAAGATCAACATCATGAGCAATCTGATCGAATCCTCTTTGTAGAAATGAAGAGTAAATGGCACAAAATGGTTTGAGCCCTTCACAAGCTAAACCAGCTGCAAACGTAACAGCATGTTGTTCGGCTATGCCGACATCGAAACATCGATCCGGGAATCGTTTCTGGAATAAATTAAGCCCTGTTCCTCCTCCCATGGCCGCATGGATCCCAACTATTTTATCATCTTCTTCTGCTTCAGCTATTAAAGACTCTGCAAAGTACTGAGTATACGAGCGTGTTCCCGACTTGTTCTTCATCTGCTTCCCAGACTTGGGATCGAATTTCACAACCCCTGCAACAAGAAGAAAAATCTATGATGACCCGATCGTTCATTTTAGTTAAAAAACTTGTGTTCGATGCAAGATCGGTCTTTCCGAGTCTGCATAACACAATGTTGAAGCATACTTACCATGCATTTTATCAGGTGCAGTCTCTGCAGGGGCATAACCTTTTCCCTTCTCGGTATTGACATGAATGAGAACAGGCCCTGGGGCTGGCATCGACCTAACTTCATTCAACACACAAACAAGGTCTTCTACGTTATGACCATCCACCGGACCAATGTAGTATAGTCCCAGTTCTTCAAATAGGCTAGCTCCGGAGCCACCTGCAGCTCCTCTCACGCACGAATCGAATTTGGCGGCAATTTCATGTGTTTGCCCTCCTATATGCTTCGTAATTCCCTGCAAATCCTGTCAAAACAATCTAAATATGCTTGTTTTTGCAGAGTTATCATAGGAACGTATGGGGTTCCAAGAGTCAAATTTCGACACCTTTGCAGCTTCGCGTAGTAGGCGAAATTCCCTGCTCGATTGCAGCCTTGTTAGAGCTTCGCTAAGAGCTCCGACAGGAGGAGCCGGACCGTCGACTGTAGCGGTGGGCAAGGAGACTTGTTTGTTATCGTTCAAGATGATTATGAGACTCGAGTCAAGATAACCAGCGTTGTTCATTGCTTCATATGCCATTCCAGCAGTCATTGCTCCATCGCCTATTACCGCAACTACATGATTGTTCTTCCCTAACAAATCTCTTCCAACCGCCATACCTAAACCTGCTGAAATGCTGGTAGAACTATGGCCAGCCCCAAAGGCATCATGAATGCTCTCTTCCCTATTCGGAAAACCAGATAATCCGAATGTTTGTCGAATCGAGTGCATTCTCGATCTTCTACCGGTTAAAATCTTATGCGGATAGGCCTGCAAACACCCAAATTCAATAACTAAACCGATCATATATCAATCAAACCAAACCATATATATAGCGCATTACCTGATGGCCAACATCCCAAATAATCTTGTCCTCAGGAGTGTCGAAAACATGGTGAAGTGCCACTGTAAGCTCAGCCACCCCAAGGCTTGAACTCAGATGACCACCGGTCTTCGACACTGTGTAAACCAGCTCTTCTCGTAGCTCATCAGCTAACTTCCCAAGCTCCTATAGTTTCAATCACAAATATATATTCATTTCCTCTGTATAGTGTATATATAATTATAACCGCTCAATAGCATAATAATTTATACCTGGATGGAAAGATTCTTGATATGAACGGGATGGCTGATGGTATCAAGAAGCGGAGTGGACGGCTTTTCAGCAGAGAAATTGAGGAATCTTTTGATTTGTCTAGTCTGTTGAGCTCCTTTGACCATCGTCTTCCTTTCTCTAATCGTTTGCATCTGGTCTACTGCCCTGCGATGGAAGGGTGAAGATGAATTATATCCATATTGACACTGCTGCAAAGGTTGAAAGCTTGTTCTCAGAATGGAAGAAGCCATTGCCTAGTAAGTGTAATTGTATTGGGTTGGGTGGAAAGATATGTGATGGATTTGATGAAATCTGGGGAAAATGAGAGATTTATAGGGTAAGGATTCAACATTCCAGGAAAATGACTTGTATAATAAAGAAAGAAATTATCTCACACGTGAAAAACCTTGGAGAAGATGGCCATGGTCTACCAGTGTCACGATCACCCGCGTAGAGCTTGTCTATGATCTTTCATAATAATATGAATGATTGAGTGTGAACTTGCTAAACTTGATCAATACGATATAAATCTATTACTATTCATATAATTAACATGTTTGGCCTTACGTGAGATTAATTAGGGATGAGCATGAAATTTAAATTCGATAAATTCTGACTTGATTCAACTTTAAAATTTGAATATGATAAAAAATATTTAAATTCGAATCAAATTAAATCACATTACACAGAGAACGATAGTGTTAAAATTATATTGAGTAGGTGAAAAAACTTACCTAACCTCACCTATATCCGTCCCTAGACGAGATGATATCTTATTTCCCTCTCTTTAGTACGTGCGAAACAAATCCAAGATTTGCCTAAGTAGTTAGATTAAATGATATTGTTGTTTAATGATCCGATTAAGCACAATTTTACTGATAAACACAAGCTTTGGCTTTGCTGCGAGTTAGGCATGCAGATAAGCTACGTCTGTTCTTTACTTTCATTTTTAATCCAAGTCTATATACAATGAAACACTGCTAATAAACAACACTACTGAAATCACAATCGCTGGCCCCTCACACCTACAACCAATTCGAATGCCTTCATTCATCTAAACACACAAGGACCGAATACCATCATCCAAGCATAGGCTTCTATTTTAGTTACACCGTCGTTAAATACTTCGTGCATTATGATTGAACATTTTTCATTCAAAAATTATGAAACGAACCCCAAACTTTTTGTGTGTGAAATATCTCGTTTCCGAATTCTCTTTGATTTCAAATATCTTATTTCAAATATCTATGGAGAAGGAAAAAACGAGTTGTATATCTTGATTCCACGGTGATCGTATCGTAGATATTTTGGGTTAATGTTGTTTGGAGGTATATGAGTCTTGAGTTTAGGATTGACTTTTAAAGTGACTTATGTATAATCTAATCTAATAGAGTGATGGGAGATAAGAAGGCGAATTTATTGATATATTGAGTGGTCTAAAAAGATACCAAAGAATGATAATTGTAGCGTCGATATAACATAAGGATGAAACTATAAACCTTTTATCTTTGAAGGAAGAAGATAAAATAAAATATAAAAAAATTATATGGATAACACATAGATTTTATGTTAAATAAAAAAACAGTCAGCATCAACACATGACTACCATGTCACCCTTCCAGTTATAACTTATCTAGTGATTGAAATAGGCAAGTGGTAAATTTAATGAGTAAACATAAAATTGAGTGATAAATTCTATAATTTATTCTTTTTTGTTGCTCTCTCAATTCATAAGAGTTTCGCTCTTATCAATCTAGACTAACCCAGGTCGGCCATTTGTTTTGGTGGGTATAATTTACTCTTTTTAAAATTATTAAATATATAATATAAATAAGATTTAACGCAAAAATAAGTGTCTAAACTATACCTAAAATTAACTTTTTGTGTTTAAATTTTTTTTTAAAAATATGTGTTTAATGTTTTTCTCTATTACACTCTTAGGTGCCTACCATTAAAAAAATGTTAAGTAACACATGTCACATTTATATTTTTATTTTTTAAATATTACAAATTAATTTTTAAGAAAATATCACTAAACAATTTTCTAACAATAAACACTTAAAAATATAACAAAAAAATATTATATACATAATTTTACGGAAAAATTCTTTAAATATAAAAATCAATTTTCGTATAATTTAAAATTTTATTTTTATATTAAATCTATAATTAATTCGGGTACAACGACCCTGTCACCTATAGCTAAGACACATTTGTTCATGAATCACGTGATTGGATTTTGTCTTTAACATATGATACAACGTTAATAGTTTTCCGGTACATATTTTTATTTATAATTATATAAAAATACAAATCTCAACAATAATTTTTTAAAAAGTATATAAATTTAAGTATTAAACTTTAAGTATTAAATTTTAAATACTAAATACTCAGGGATGGAGTCATATAGACCGTTAGGGTGCGTTTGGTTTACAGAATGTAAGATTACCAGGGAATAGGATTACTAGGAATGTTGTATTTTTGTGTTTGGTTGATTTAGCAGGAATGTAAGATTATCGTGTTTGGTTAAAGGAATAAAAGATTATTGGAATATATATTTGACCAAATTGTCCTTATTATATATTTGTATAATATTACAAATTGTAAAATATTTATATATTTTCTTTAAAAAATTAAATTCATAATATTTATATAATTTTTTTTACAAAATTAAAAATATAAAAAAGGTTTAATAAAAGGGTAAAAAAAATTTAACCCCTGAACTTCATATAAAATTTTAATTATAGACTTTTTTTGTAAATCTAAAATAATTTAAGGATAAATTTCTAATTTAACCTTCGTAGAATTTTTATTATTCAATGACAGAAGAATGATATTTTTGAAAAAAAATAAAAATTCAAGGGCATTTTAGTCCAAAGCGTCGGTAATGTTACAATACCTAAGGGAATGGAGGCAATGACATTCCCGGTAATATACCTCAAAAAATCTACTATTGGTAATAAAACATTACCGGAAATGAGATCCTCGGCCAACCAAACATGAGAATGTGGAATTCCCACAATCCTTGAACCAAACACCCCTTAGGGCTATCCCCTCAAATTTTGTTTACTATTAAGAAATATGTGGGTAATTATCTATTTAGGGGTGTGAATTTTTTTTATTTTAAACAGATATTATCTTATACTTACCTCATATTAATATTACTGAATAAATGTTAGAGGCGTGAGATTTTTCTATTTTAGTCTCTTGATATATATTCGACCGTAATATTATTGAAATAACAAATAATAAAGAATAGAAAACATCATATATTAATAATAATAGCAATAACAAAATTGTCGTAAAATTGAATGTTTTTCTTAGGGCAAACGATTTCGCATGTTTTAAATGTGAAGCTGTATCTTGGACAAAGAGAAAAAACGAGATTGCATTTAAATTCTTCGTATTTTGTCGTGTTGTATGTAATAGTCGTTTTTTCTGTATCCTTGATAATCCTCATGTGCTCTTTTCCCCCTTTTAAGCGGAGATATTTTTTATCGAGACATAACGTAAATTTGTTTGTCATCTCTATTTCAATGAAAATTACTTATTGCCGAGAACATGAAAAGGACACTTAGAGTCAGACTTACGATCTTAAGTTAATAATGTAAATTTTAAGAAGTTATAATCATAGTAATATGATGATATGCAGGTTCGGTCCAATGAGTTTTAATGTCATGGACGAGATAATAATTTTATGCCCCTATCCGAATAAAAATATTGTTCGCTACAAGGGTAGACTCAAAATAAACACTCAGCCATTACAAACCAAAATGGAAATCCATTCAGATAAGTCCACTGTAAGATGCAAACCTTATTACAATTGCCATCAACCAAGTGTGGAGAAGATATTCCATGAGAGATGTTATAAGTAGACAAAACATCTTTCAGCGTGCTGCTTACCCTAAAAGCTACAAAAGACTCGAAAGAAAGCTTGACAAGTAATCCTATCAAGCCCTACCAAGCGAAACCAACATGGAACAATTGTGACACAAACTTCGCTTCATAAGGAGGATTGGAAGTCCTTTCTGCATGGCCAAACTTCGCTTCATAAGGAGGATTGCTCCTGCACCATCACTCACCTGGCTAGCATTTCCTAAGAAAAATTGGGACACAAATTTTCATTCAGATCAAATATTGTTCTGGTCAGAGTATAAACTTTCACAAATTTGATTCGTATATATACCAGCAATTGTGGTTCCATCTTTCTTAAATGCAGGCTTCAATTTTGCTAGACCTGCCATGTTTGTCTCTGGGCAGATACCATCATCCACCGAAATTACGACTGGCTTCGCTTCTCCAATTTTAGGATTCACAATCTTTGCATCTTAACAATGAAAGTTAATAAAATATCATAAAAATAATAAACCAGAAAAATTCACTACCTGAAATTACCTTTGTGGCTATAGGGAACTTAGTAAAACTGATGCCCGTAAAATGCTCCCTGGGTCGTCACCCTTACATGCTACCCTGGGCCGTCGCCCATCGGGCACATGTATTGGGCCAGCCCTGATGATATGAAATTATTAAATTTTAGGTTGTGTATTATTGAATTATCGATAAAAATATAAAAATATATTTAAAATATTTGAACAAAATAAAATTCTTAAATATAACAGTTACTAATACTTTCTTGATCTATCCTTAATGGAGGTGTTCAAAAAAAATCCTTAATAGTAACCGTTAAACGGTATGACCTTAACATTTAATAGGTTAATTAATCAAACTCGATAAAAATGATGGTTAACGGTTTATGTTACAATTATGAATTTTGATAAACATCGTTAAAAAATTAAATTTCTAATTAAATTTCTAATTAATTATATTTTTACATAAATAACTTAATATAATTTTCTATTATTTATATTTTATATATATTTAATAAAATTTGTACACAATTAACTTCATATATATTTTATTTTTTTATTTTTTATTTCTTTGAAAATACATAAGCATACTTATATAATATAATTATATGTTTCTTATTAGGTATCAAGATATTGGAAGATGTACATACTTACACCGGTATGAGTACGTATTAAGTGTTACACTTTTTTACTTTATTCACTTACAACGATGTAAGTATTGTTAAGTGCTACATTTTTTTTATTTTGTTCACTTATATCAGTGTGAGTATGTATTAATTGCGACACTTTTTTGTAGTATGAATTAAGAAAAAAATTGACAAATAATTATAATAAGTTAACCGTATGTTATCCTATAACCAAACCATTAGTAACAGTTAACCGTTACTTAATGATTAGATTAGATTACAATTAAAAAAAATCTCATAATCA